CTTTGAGAAAATATGTAAATCATTTTTGGATAACATAATCCATCGTGGCTCAAGTCAAAATATTAGAAAATCTTCATTTTAACTAATGGGCATTTTTGCCTGTATATTGAGATTATCACTTGGTGAATAGTATTGTAGAACATATCGAATTATTCAATTTTGTAGAGAAAGCATTTCTACATCTTTTGAGACGTCTCAAAACTCGAACGAATGTTTAGATGCAGAGAAAAATACAAAATACAAAGAGTACCGAAAAATAGCGGTCTTTTGATCAAGTGTCGAAGAGTGTGTTAATTGTATAGTGTGGCATTTTTCACAGGCAAGTCAGAAAGAGGTTATATTTTGGACTTAAAGGTTTCGAATGATGATCTATCATTTAAGATATCTAAATCGAGAATAAAAATTTTAGCAATGAACGACTTCTGATTAGGTTGGTAGGTCCTCTCGCGGACGCTCTCTTAACTACCATATTTTATTTAGGATAGAATACAAAAAAAAATATATAAAATCAAAAAGTATTCTTAAATTTTACGTAATTCTTCATACACTTGATAACATTCTTGTTGATATGCTTCAGCAGTTTTAACTCGATTAATTGAATCAAGAATAGCACGACCAACAATAACTATATCAGCACCACGTCCATCAATAGCTTGACGTGGTGTTACATATTGTTGACCAAGTTGATCACCAGTATTAGTTAAATGAACACCTAATTTAATATATCGATTAGAATACTTTTCTTTTTTTTTCTTTTTATTCTTCAATTATATGAAAATAGTTTACCTGGAGTACAATGAAGATATTTATCACTAGTTGTAAGACGTGATTGTGAAATAAATCCAATAACAAAATCAGAATATTTCTCAGCACATTTTATTACACCATTAACATAATCTTCATTATTCGTTAAAGCTCCTTTCGATGACATTTGTGCTATTAATAAACATCCACGTGATTCATTAATTGTTTGTGCTGCCTAATATTTAAGAAAATATTTCATATTTCATATTAATTCATTGATTTAAATTCTCATATGTATAACTTACTTGTTCCAATGCTTGTACAATACCTTCACCGGGTAGAACATGAACAGTAACAAGATCTGCCCATTCAGCAATTTGAAAAAGACCTTTTGTATATTGTAGTGCTACCGTATTACCAATATCAGCAAATTTTCTATGTAATAACGAATTAAATAAAATCTATTTTAATCACTGTATAAAAAAAAGTCTTTGCAAAAACATGTTTATGCAATTTCTGTTGACTTTTAGATCGTCGGATAAAATAAATATTTTATGTTCTTTCTAAATATATATTTAGAATTATTTTTTTGTACTGATTCAAAGTTGATTCGTTCAAAACTAATATGTAACGGAAGCCAAAAAACGACGTCTCTATATATCACTCTATAGAATGAAGTTTTGTCTACAAAATGTTAGATTTATTTTTCTTTTTACATATTACTACAAATGATCAATATCTGTTGAATTTTAAAAATTAAAATTTGGAAAAAAAAGAGCGATTTGTTTTAAAAAAATATTGTGAGTAGCTGTTTGGTTCTTACAACCTCTAGCTTATTGTAAATCATGATTTTGTAAGAAATTAAATTCTCTACCACAACAAAAAGTCAAAAATACCATTCAATCAAGTGATTAGTGGCAGAAAGAAATCTATTTTGTAACATGCAAATAGCATATTTGATTTATACAAATATTCACTTGCAATAAATCAGTTATACGCCAAAGAAAAATTCCGATTATACAGTGATGTTCGAAATTGATCATACACTGAACAAATAACCTTGTCTTCCAGATGTGTTATGAGAGATTTATATTAATACAAGTTTTGAACATATATTTCAGCGCAATTTTACTCGCTTGTATGGTTATAGTATCTTTGACACGTGTTTTCTGTTGCAAATTACAAAGTACATAATATTTCATTGCAAAATTTACGATATATTTTTATATGAGATGTACGGTCAATGTCAAGCCTATTCAGTGTGCATCATTTTCAGTATTGTTTATCTCGAACAACAAGTTTATAGGAGAAAGAAATGATACTTGACGCTGATAAACTATGAAACCTCAACTACATTTTGCAAAAAAGCTTAACCTTTGGACCTTAAGTCATAGTTATCAACAGGAAACATTTTTCTAGTCTATCCAGCAGGTTAAACTAGACCGCTTAATATTACTGATTTTTCGTGTACATTTATTTGTATTACTCTGCATTAATGTATGGATTTGGGTGTGAGTATTCATATCACTCACACTCACATCACAATCGTCAATCGGAAAGTTATAAATCGACATTTCAACAAAGAAATTTCGGAAAGTAGTTATTTGACTTTTAAATACATATATTGCATCTTTTTATTGAAATATATTTTTGCTCTATAAGCATTTTATGTGAAAATTATTAGTAAGATAGTTTTTTTTGCTTCTTCATCCTGGCTTATACTCGTGTTGGGATCCTTGAACTCATTATTCATAGCAGAATTTAATTCAGTTTAACACATTAGAATTATCATGTGAAAAAAATTCCTACTCAAACTAAAAACTTGGCTTATATTGACGAAAGTGTTTATTCAAATGACTTCTTTTAATAAGCTAATCTGTTCTGTTTAGTTCGAGAAGGCTTTCAATTCAAGAAAGCATGTACCGCTAATAATCCCAAAGTTCTGTACTATATAATGATTACAGTAGCATTAATTAGTGGAAAGAGTTACTTTCGAAATTATAATCCAGTTTATAAAAACTCGAATTTAGCAAAATATAATAACTCGAAAAAAATTCGGAATTTTGCTGTCATTTCGGAAGATTTGGCAACCATGAGTCATACTCACATCCTATTACAAAACTTTTGGGAATTATCAAAAGTTAACTACGAAATTCATGCTATCCCCTTTATCCGTATTACTACTAAAGAAATATTAGAAATTTCTGTAATCTTCTGGGAATTTCCAAAATATCCTATACAATTTCCTTAGCGTTTCTTTCTTATGAATCCGAAATTATCGAAATTTCCTAGAAACTATCTGTTAATATCTTACGAGAGAACTACCGGTAGAGCCTATCGGATCCAAGAATTTTCGCATCTGGAACAGGCACCGGAACTGGATCTGGATCCTGACCAAACCGATCAAAATTGTTTCATTCGGATCTAACCGACTGATCTTCAGTGAGTAGAACCCATCGGATCCAAGAATTTCTGGATCTGAATCCGGATCCGAACCCGGTCGAAACTAAACTTTCAGACCTAAATCCGATAGACTCTAATTACCGGAGATGATACCTTGCTTTTGAGGTGAGATCCCTATCATTACGTTGGGCGTCTTGATACTAAAAGGAATCTAGAAGGATTCTTCTACATTCGCTGTCTTTTTATAGTTATGGCCGTTACATTGAAATTTTTACCTTTAGCACAGTATTTGTAAAAATACCGAACAAACAAATTGCAACCTAAAACTTTGTCCATCGATAGTTCTTGAAGTCATTAGAATTTGTTAAAAGCTTCATTCGAAAAGAATGATTTCTTTTCAAGATATCAGACCCACCAAAACCTATGATATTCCACCAAACAGGCGAAAAACTATTTTTTTTTTGTGGATTTCATATCTCGAGAAGAGCCCATTCTTCTTGGATGAAATTTTAGCAGATTCCAATGAATTCAAGAACCATGTATGGGCAAAGTTTTAGATCAAAATTCGTTTATCCAGTATTTTTATAAACAGCATGCCAAAGGTAAAAAATCCAGTGTAATGCCCATCACACCAAAATGGCAGCGCATCGGGGAAGAATATTTCTAGGTTTCTTCTAGTTTCAACAGGCCCTACATAATGACTGAGGTCTCATCTCAAACATGAGGTATCACCCAAGTAATTTCTTCGTTAGTAATTTCGAAAATTTTCGTTTTCGAAAATCAGAATATTGTTGTTGTGTGGCGGGCACATACCTGACCGACAACTCTACTTCAAGTTTCTCTTGAAATATGAGGAAAACAAGA